TGACTCACCCCCCGTGCAGTGACTCACCCCCCGTGCATGACTCACCCCCCATGCATGACTCACCCCCCATGCATGACTCACCCCCCATGCATGACTCACCCCCCATGCATGACTCACCCCCCATGCATGACTCACCCCCCCATGCATGACTCACCCCCCGTGCATGACTCACCCCCCGTGCATGACTCACCCCCCGTGCATGACTCACCCCCCATGCATGACTCACCCCCCATGCATGACTCACCCCCCATGCATGACTCACCCCCCATGCATGACTCACCCTCCGTGCATGACTCACCCCCCATGCATGACTCACCCCCCGTGCATGACTCACCCCCCATGCATGACTCACCCCCCATGCATGACTCACCCCCCATGCATGACTCACCCCCCATGCATGACTCACCCCCCATGCATGACTCACCCCCATGCATGACTCACCCCCCATGCATGACTCACCCCCCGTGCATGACTCACCCCCCGTGCATGACTCACCCCCCATGCATGACTCACCCCCCATGCATGACTCACCCCCCATGCATGACTGACCCCCCATGCATGACTGGCCCCCATGCATGACTGACCCCCCATGCATGACTCACCCCCCGTGCATGACTCACCCCCCGTGCATGACTCACCCCCCGTGCATGATTCACCCCCATGCATGACTCACCCCCCATGCATGACTCACCCCCCATGCATGACTCACCCCCCATGCATGACTCACCCCCCATGCATGACTCACCCCCATGCATGACTGATCCCCATGCATGACTCACCCCCCATGCATGACTCACCCCCCATGCATGACTCACCCCCCATGCATGACTCACCCCCCCCGTGCATGACTCACCCCCCGTGCATGACTCACCCCCCATGCATGACTCACCCCCCGTGCATGACTCACCCCCCGTGCATGACTCACCCCCCATGCATGACTCACCCCCCATGCATGACTCACCCCCCATGCATGACTCACCCCCCATGCATGACTCACCCCCCATGCATGACTCACCCCCCATGCATGACTCACCCCCCATGCATGACTCACCCTCCGTGCATGACTCACCCCCCATGCATGACTCACCCCCCATGCATGACTCCACCCCCATGCATGACTCACCCCCCGTGCATGACTCACCCCCCATGCATGACTCACCCCCCATGCATGACTCACCCCCCATGCATGACTCACCCCCCATGCATGACTCACCCCCCATGCATGACTCACCCCCCATGCATGACTCACCCCCCATGCATGACTCACCCCCCATGCATGACTCACCCTCCGTGCATGACTCACCCCCCGTGCATGACTCACCCCCCATGCATGACTCACCCCCCATGCATGACTCACACCCCCATGCATGACTCACCCCCCATGCATGACTCACCCCCCATGCATGACTCACCCCCCATGCATGACTCACCCCCCATGCATGACTCACCCCCCATGCATGACTCACCCCCCGTGCCTGACTCACCCCCCATGCATGACTCACCCCCCATGCATGACTCACCCCCCATGCATGACTCACCCCCCGTGCATGACTCACCCCCCATGCATGACTCACCCCCCATGCATGACTCACCCCCCGTGCATGACTCACCCCCCCATGCATGACTCACCCCCCATGCATGACTCACCCCCCGTGCGTGACTCACCCCCCGTGCGTGACTCACCCCCCGTGCATGACTCACCCCCCATGCATGACTCACCCCCCCCGTGCATGACTCACCCCCCGTGCATGACTCACCCCCCGTGCATGACTCACCCCCCATGCATGACTCACCCCCCGTGCATGACTCACCCCCCGTGCATGACTCACCCCCCATGCATGACTCACCCCCTGTGCATGACTCACCCCCCGTGCATGACTCACCCCCCGTGCATGACTCACCCCCCGTGCATGACTCACCCCCCATGCATGACTCACCCCCCATGCATGACTCACCCCCCATGCATGACTCACCCCCCCGTGCATGACTCACCCCCCGTGCATGACTCACCCCCCGTGCATGACTCACCCCCGTGCATGACTCACCCCCCATGCATGACTCACCCCCCGTGCATGACTCACCCCCCGTGCATGACTCACACCCCCCATGCATGACTCACCCCCCATGCATGACTCACCCCCCATGCATGACTCACCCCCCCATGCATGACTCACCCCCCGTGCATGACTCACCCCCCGTGCATGACTCACCCCCCGTGCATGACTCACCCCCCGTGCATGACTCACCCCCCATGCATGACTCACCCCCCGTGCATGACTCACCCCCCGTGCATGACTCACCCCCCATGCATGACTCACCCCCCGTGCATGACTCACCCCCCGTGCATGACTCACCCCCCATGCATGACTCACCCCCTGTGCATGACTCACCCCCCGTGCATGACTCACCCCCCGTGCATGACTCACCCCCCGTGCATGACTCACCCCCCATGCATGACTCACCCCCCATGCATGACTCACCCCCCATGCATGACTCACCCCCCCATGCATGACTCACCCCCCGTGCATGACTCACCCCCCGTGCATGACTCACCCCCCGTGCATGACTCACCCCCCATGCATGACTCACCCCCCATGCATGACTCACCCCCCGTGCATGACTCACCCCCCATGCATGACTCACCCCCCATGCATGACTCACCCCCCATGCATGACTCACCCCCCATGCATGACTCACCCCCCGTGCATGACTCACCCCCCGTGCATGACTCAACCCCCGTGCATGACTCACCCCCCGTGCATGACTCACCCCCCATGCATGACTCACCCCCCATGCATGACTCACCCCCCATGCATGACTCACCCCCCGTGCATGACTCACCCCCCATGCATGACTCACCCCCCGTGCATGACTCACCCCCCGTGCATGACTCACCCCCCATGCATGACTCACCCCCCATGCATGACTCACCCCCCATGCATGACTCACCCCCCGTGCATGACTCACCCCCCATGCATGACTCACCCCCCATGCATGACTCACCCCCCATGCATGACTCACCCCCCATGCATGACTCACCCCCCGTGCATGACTCACCCCCCGTGCATGACTCACCCCCCGTGCATGACTCACCCCCCGTGCATGACTCACCCCCCATGCATGACTCACCCCCCATGCATGACTCACCCCCCATGCATGACTCACCCCCCGTGCATGACTCACCCCCCGTGCATGACTCACCCCCCGTGCATGACTCACCCCCCATGCATGACTCACCCCCCATGCATGACTCACCCCCCATGCATGACTCACCCCCCGTGCATGACTCACCCCCCATGCATGACTCACCCCCCATGCATGACTCACCCCCCATGCATGACTCACCCCCCATGCATGACTCACCCCCCATGCATGACTCACCCCCCGTGCATGACTCACCCCCCATGCATGACTCACCCCCCATGCATGACTCACCCCCCATGCATGACTCACCCCCCGTGCATGCCTCACCCGCCGTGCAAGACTCACCCCCCGTGCATGACTCACCCCCCATGCATGACTCACCCCCCGTGCATGACTCACCCCCCATGCATGACTCACCCCCCGTGCATGACTCACCCCCCATGCATGACTCACCCCCCGTGCGTGACTCACCCCCCGTGCGTGACTCACCCCCCGTGCATGACTCACCCCCCATGCATGACTCACCCCCCCCGTGCATGACTCACCCCCCGTGCATGACTCACCCCCCGTGCATGACTCACCCCCCATGCATGACTCACCCCCCGTGCATGACTCACCCCCCGTGCATGACTCACCCCCCATGCATGACTCACCCCCCGTGCATGACTCACCCCCCGTGCATGACTCACCCCCCATGCATGACTCACCCCCCATGCATGACTCACCCCCCATGCATGACTCACCCCCCATGCATGACTCACCCCCCCATGCATGACTCACCCCCCGTGCATGACTCACCCCCCGTGCATGACTCACCCCCCGTGCATGACTCACCCCCCGTGCATGACTCACCCCCCATGCATGACTCACCCCCCGTGCATGACTCACCCCCCGTGCATGACTCACCCCCCATGCATGACTCACCCCCCGTGCATGACTCACCCCCCGTGCATGACTCACCCCCCATGCATGACTCACCCCCTGTGCATGACTCACCCCCCGTGCATGACTCACCCCCCGTGCATGACTCACCCCCCGTGCATGACTCACCCCCCATGCATGACTCACCCCCATGCATGACTCACCCCCCATGCATGACTCACCCCCCCATGCATGACTCACCCCCCGTGCATGACTCACCCCCCGTGCATGACTCACCCCCCGTGCATGACTCACCCCCCATGCATGACTCACCCCCCATGCATGACTCACCCCCCGTGCATGACTCACCCCCCATGCATGACTCACCCCCCATGCATGACTCACCCCCCATGCATGACTCACCCCCCATGCATGACTCACCCCCCCGTGCATGACTCACCCCCCGTGCATGACTCACACCCCCGTGCATGACTCACCCCCCGTGCATGACTCACCCCCCGTGCATGACTCACCCCCCATGCATGACTCACCCCCCATGCATGACTCACCCCCCATGCATGACTCACCCCCCGCTCACCCCCCCATGCATGACTCACCCCCCATGCATGACTCACCCCCCATGCATGACTCACCCCCCATGCATGACTCACCCCCCGTGCATGACTCACCCCCCGTGCATGACTCACCCCCCGTGCATGACTCACCCCCCGTGCATGACTCACCCCCCGTGCATGACTCACCCCCCGTGCATGACTCACCCCCCATGCATGACTCACCCCCCGTGCATGACTCACCCCCCGTGCATGACTCACCCCCCATGCATGACTCACCCCCCGTGCATGACTCACCCCCCATGCATGACTCACCCCCCATGCATGACTCACCCCCCGTGCATGACTCACCCCCCATGCATGACTCACCCCCCGTGCATGACTCACCCCCCGTGCATGACTCACCCGCCGTGCATGCCTCACCCGCCGTGCATGACGAGGATCTCCGTCTTGTCGCTGGAGGGCCAGAGGTCGAGCTCAATGACGCGCACGCCACGCCTTAGCGCCTTCACGATGGGCTTCACGGAGCTGTCGCTCGTCAGCTGGTTGCCCTTCAGGTACGAGTTGTGCCCCGTGTATATGTAGTAGTGCGATAGTGGTAACCGCATGTCCGCACTCACCTGCGCCCCGCCATGCACCATCCGGGGGGAGCAAACAAGGGGAGAGGGGAGGGGAGTAAGGGGGAGAAGAGGGAACGAGGGGCAGAGGGAGAAGGGGCGCGGTTACTGATGGTGCGTGTCTGAAGCTGCATCCTGCCTTCACCCGCCACATCCACCCACGCTGCCCTGACCCGCCTCACATCATCCTCACCCACTGTCACCCGCTCCCGGTTCCCCCTCTTCCCCCATTCCCCCCTTCCCCTAGCGCTTGGTACCCGGTTGGCGAGGGCGGGAGTGAGCAGCGGGGCGAGCAGCACGTGGAGGAACTGGTCCGCGTTGGGCTCCCCCTGCGCCTTCATGCGGCTGCCGGCCAGCGTCAGCGAGTACCGCGTCAGCGTGCGCGAGTGCAGGTGCCCCTGCGTCTGCGCGCGGTGCGAGCGGCTGCGGTTGACCTGCGGGATGCCGTCCGCGGGCTTGGCGCTGGACGAGGGGAAGGACAGCAGCAGATTCGCCATCGGGCCGTGCAGCACGCCCTGCACGCACGCGGAGGGGAAGGGCGGAGTACAATTTCCAGAGAAATGGAGGGAGGGGAAGGGAGGGGAGAGTGGCGTGAGGGAAGAAGTTGAGCAACGCCTTCTTTTCCCCGGCGCACCTATTTCCCCGCGCGCAACTCACCACCCCCCCACCTCCCCCCCCCCCCCCCCCCCCCCCCCGCACCTTGTCCTGCTGGAACTCCTGGAAGAACTTGAGCAGCGCCTTGCTGGTCATCACGCCGTTGTCGTCCGCGTACTGGTCGTACGCGCGCTGCACCATCGCCGGCACGGCGGGCGGCACGCCCTCCGACTCGCCGCCGTGCAGCACGTCGAGCCAGCGCGACCACGCGATGCCCATGCGCACCCCGCTACAGCACGCCAGCTCGCATGTGCCGGTTCCTACACGCAACGACAGACGGTGGTGCTGCTCGCGGTATGGCGGACATCAAGAATGAGGTCAGGTCAAGTCGTGAGCGAATCCGCGAATGATCACGAATTGAAACGCTTCTTCTGACTGAATGTGATAGAGAAAATATGCGATGAAGACTACCACAGGGCAGGAAAACAAACCTAATAATTCTTCAGCTTTCCGATACTTCTACGCAAGCCTGTCAAGGACACTGTAAGTAGTATGAGGCCCACTAGCGCTAAACGCGTTGTTGTGAATCTGACGATGACAATGCGCTAAATAAAACGACGTGCGAAATTTACTTGGTTTGGCTGTCGGGCCGCCCCACCACCACCATTCGCGTTACTGACTGATCAAAGAAGACACTGTTGGATCGTCAAGACCAAATCGACAAACCTCCACCAACAACCGGAGTGAGTGCTACTAACGAAAATGACCTGGATTCCTCAAATTCGACATAAGCTCATTTGCTTTCAAGTCGTGCTGCACTTTGGTTTTACGAAAATCATAACCATTGCGGTGTTACCCATTTTTCGAAGTTGTCCTGCCACGTTTCGCGCACGTGAATCAGCAGAAACTCACGAGCCAACCAAAAGCGTCTCATCAATTGGCCAAATCTGGTTGCCACGCTGTGCTGGGCAAATCGCCCTGCCAGCATGGCAAGGGCAGCGATATTCCAGGGTCACTCCGCGAAACCCATCTCCACCGACATGAAATTGGATGTAATGACGACAATCAGAAAATCCCAGCATTTCCACTTCAGTTCTGCAGCGCGACAAGTATCACCAAAACGCCTGACGAGAAACTTGGAGCAGGGAATTTGCCACAGATCGCCTGCCAGCACTTCTTTCCGACATTGTCTTGTCAGCCAAGCAGGTTCACCACCTAGTTTTCTCGAGGCGACGCGGACACATTGCGTCCCCGTGAACTCAGGGGACGCATTGTCACGATGTCGATATCCCGTTTCTTTGCCCTCGATAGAGTCGCTCGAGTTGCCTCATTATCGTCATTTTCCATCAGCCAACAAAGGTGCTCGCCGGCCAGTTGCGTTTCCTCACCACGACTCCATCCATCGCGGCCTGCTGGTGAGATGAACTCCAATTTATGCGCGTTCCACTCCTTCCCGCGGCTTCCCTCGCCATGTCCCAATGCATCCTCCCGCGTTCCGCATTGCGTCCCCTTCTTTCTCGCAGCTTCCCTAGGTCGAATCAACTCCACGGACAAGGATTCTTCAGCCAGCTGGGACTCCCCTCTCCTCCAGCCGCTCATTGCCGCGGGACTGGCAGCGGCATTCCTGGCCTCCGCCCCCCGTGTTCTTGCGGAAGCCGCTGTTGCTGCCGCTGATGGCGCAGCGGCTGGTTCCGCCGCATCAGCAGCGGCGCAGGCGTGCGGGGAGCTGCTGGGCGGGGCGGACTTCAACACTGTGGTGGCCGTGACGTGCGCGCTCGAGTTCATTGCGCTCACTGGCGCTGCCGTGGGAGGTGAGAAAGGGGGGGGTACGTCCCGGGAGAAATTATAAAAACCGATGACGCGTTGGGCTGTGTAGGACCAGTGTACACACGGTCGTTCGCCGTAATCTAACAACTGAAAGAACGAAGCTCGGAAGAACGAAAAGGCATCCTGGCTCAGTAAGGTGCATCTACACACGCTGGCTGTGGAGCCTGATGCGTGAAGCCAGGTCAAATCTATCTCTGATGGACACGTGTGCACCCCAACCCTGACTGTCAAATGTGTGGCATGCGTGGCAGGGTACATGGCATTGCAGCAGGGGGCGGAGATGGAGCGCATCAATAAGCAGTTGAGGCAGATCAACATGAGCCTCAAGAGGCAGGCCCGCTTGGACGCTCCCTCCCTCGCCTACTCCCCGCCTCCTCCTAGCGCCGCCTCGCCTGCAGCCGGCACCAGCCGCATAGCAGAGACAGCAGCAGCTCCCGCTGCTGACGCACCTGCAGAAACAACCAGGGCAACGGCTGTTGGTGAAATGGCTCGTGGTGGGAGTGATGAGAGGGCAGAGCTGCTCCGCATTCTGAAAGAGGGGAAGAAGCACCTGCGGGATGGGCACCCAGGGTCGGCATTTGTGGAGTTCCATGTGGCTCTGAGCAAGGCAAAGGAGCTGGGAGATGCGGTTGAAGAGAAGAAAGCTGCCAGAGGACTTGGTAAGTGCGGTGACAGCACCTGCATTCTCACATATGCACGTTTGTCAAGATGGAAGGAAGTATGCGGTGACCTACCACTCAAACCCCTGCTTGAATGTTCCTAATGTCCCTGTTCACATGCTGCTTCCTCCCCTGCAGGAGCCGCTTGTCAAAGGCAAGGCAAGTACAAGGAAGCCATTGGCTATCATCAACTGGTTTTGGAGAAGTCAGTGGCAACGGGAGAGCATTCTGGTGACACAGAGGCATACGGAGCGATTGCGGACTGCTATACGGAGTTAAGGGACACAGAGAAAGCTGCCATATACTATGACAAATACATCAACCGCCTGGAGCAAGATAGTGATGAAGAATGAGACATTTCACTCTCTGATAAAATTGGTACTTACGGGGCATTTAAGGGGCCCCGTATCAGGAATTTAATTTCCTTCACAACATTTGCAGTACCACGTATGGCACTTGTTGAGTATCCTGATCGTTTGACCCTCTATCTCTTACGTTTCACCCATCGCGCCATTGAGAGCCAAACGCCTACCTAAATTAGTGTTGGAATATTCACAAACAAAAGTGACATGTGCCTACACGCTTCACATTACTTTTTTCCATCTATACCTCGTGGCTTCTTAGTGTTTTTTATGTTTTCATTATGTCATGTGATGTCAGTCATGATTCATTATTGTTGTTCGCATTCAGTGAGCGAGTCAAACTGAGCTCCCTTGCTGACATATGCGCCAACTGTTCCCAGTGGACAGAGAATCGACGGTCTGAAGGGGAGCAAGCAGAAGAATCGGCCATCAGCAGATTTTCTTCCGAGTCTCCGTCACCGCCACTGCTGTGGCATTCGTTGCCTCTCGCCCGCGCGAAGAGTTCAAGGTTCGCGCAGCCTACCCATTCCGCCATTCACTTCTCGCGCACGCAGCACCCCCTTTCCACTTCGTTCTCTTCCTCGCATCCTCGTCCAGATTAGTGCAGATTCCGTCGAGTCGGCACCGCGATATCCGCTTACCTAGGTCCTGTAAATTGTTAGGTCGCCATGCTTCCTGTTTCCGTGAAGATGTTACTAGGGAGAACACTCCGTTTCGAAGCCGCGGCCTATTATCCGAGCTAGAGTTCTCCGAGCTAATACCGTCTATTGCTGTTCGCAATCGCCTCATTACGTCGTTTACGCGTGTGCACTAATTTTATTTTCTTTGGAACTCATAACTATGGGAGCGTGCTGCAGTAGTCCCGCCAGTCGTCACAGCAAGCATAAAGGCGGGCCATTTCCTTGTTTTCCAAACGGGGGTTCCTCCGAGATAGAGCCAGGTATGCGCGTCGCCATGCTCTCCCACACCACTTCTCGCAACCCTTACGTTGAGCCCCCATGCGGTGTCGCGGCAACCCAGTGTGCGTCTGCGAGTCCTTCCGTCGTCCCTCGCCTGCACCCACGTCCCCGTCTTCCCCCTCCCCTCCACACCCCCGTCTCCCCGGTTCAGTGGCGAACATTTACGACGACAACGCGTCGAACGCGTCGTTCGCAAACGACCTGCGGCGCTTCTCGTATCGCGAGCTGCAGGCGGCCACGGGGCGGTTCCGGCGCGGCAACCTGCTGGGCGAGGGCAGCTTCGGCAAGGTGTACCGCGGCTCCGTGCCGGACTGGCTCGGCGAGCTGCCACGTGGACAGAAGCGCAAAGTGGCGATTAAAGTGCTCGATGCTGATAGCTTTCAGGGCTTCGGCGAGTGGATGGTGGGTGATGGGGATGGATGGTGGGTTGCTGGAGATGGATGGTGGGTCACTGGGGTAAATGATGGGCCGTAGGACGTGATTCGCGTGCAGTAAACGCTGTACATCCGCCACCCCTTACCCTTCGTCCTTCTTTTTTCTCCCCACCTTCACTCCCCCTCCTTTCCTTCCCTTTCTCCTCCGCCCCTGTCCCGCATCATCAGTCGGAGGTGCTGCTGCTGGGGAGGCTGAGCCACCCCAACCTGGTGCGCCTGCTGGGCTACAGCACGGACAGGGAGGAGGCCATCCTCGTTTATGAGCTCCTCAGTAACGGCAGCCTCGACGCCTGGCTTTTCTCAGACGACTCCAGCAGCAGTCGTGTGCAGCGGGTGCTGACGTGGGAGGAGCGGGTGCGCATCGCACTGGATGCGACCATGGGGCTGGCGCACCTGCACGCGGAGAACATCATTCACCGCGACTTCAAGTCCTGCAACATCCTCCTCGACCACGTGGGTCCCCATTCCCAACCCAACCCCCCCCTCAACCCCCTCTCTGCCGGCGCTCCATCCTCATCTCTAACCACTTCGCACGCAACTCGGATTTGTTTTAGAAATGCCCTACCCCATTCACGCCAGCCGTCCCCCATGCATTGCCACTTCCCCTTCCCGCGCTCTCCCGTTGGGTGCCTCGCAGAGCATGCGAGCGAAGCTGACGGACTTTGGCATGGCGACGGTGGGGCCAGAGGCGGGGCAGACGCACATATCCACGCGCGTGCTGGGCACCATGGGGTACCTCGACCCCAAGTACCTCGAGACAGGTGCGCGCCCGCTCCACTGCATGCAGCTGCATGACTGGCCTGAAGAGCAGTAGGGGTCCAACCCACGGCTTTCATGGCATGACAGCTCACGCAGACTGTGTTGTGCTGTGTGCACTTTCAACTCATCGCACCACCCCTTGCTGTATCCCCACCCCTCGCCACCACCAGGCCACCTGACTCCCAAGAGTGACATATACGCGCTGGGGGTCGTGTACCTGGAACTCCTCACTGGCCGCCCGCCCTCAAGCGACGACGACCAGGATGCCAACGGAGAGGGCGGCTTGACAGCCTGGATTCGGCCACACATCTCAGTGCGCCGCCCGGATCTAGACATCATCTTGGACCCGCGATTAAAGGAACAGTTCTCTCGCGTTGCTGCGCAAAAGCTTCTGGTTCTAGCCAAGCACTGCATCAGAGAGGACCCGGTGGCACGGCCGCAGATCCAGGACCTGGTGAAGTCGATGCAGCACATCGTTGCCATCGGGCATTCTAGATCCGACTCCAGTGGGTCGACCATGTCAGGTCACAGCAGATCAGCCTCCCTTGTCTCCGCCACATCCGGGGGGCACAGCCGATCCGCCTCTGCTTCTTCAGCTTCTGCTACTGAGGCTGCAGTGAGCAGTATCGCAGACAGGAACGGTGGTAGAGACGCTAGCGGCCGACGGAGTGGGGAAGGGCGGAACTCCTGGCGCTCGTTGTCATGCAGAGATGCCGGGGGAGGAAGCGACAGAGGCGCAGAGAATGGGATTGATGACGGGTCATATGTTAATGCTGGCAAGGCGGTGTTTCAAGATGCTGCTCCAAGGTGAAGCTAGTATTTGTATTAGTGCTTTCCATGTTCATTAATGTATAGCACTCGTATGCATTTATAAGAAATATAAGCCCACAGCATGTAAATTTGATTTCTGTACCTTTGTTTCACCACCCTGGGAACTGTTTCCCCAGGGGCGGGAAATATCAGCGCCGGGCCACGCGCGCTCGCAGTCCATCCCGCCTTCACTGTGCGATGTGCGGTATTCGCTCACCGCCCTCTGCGCTCAGGTGCTGCTCAGCGGAGCTCCACGCGGGGAATCTCCGCGCAATCCGCATCGGGGTACACGAGCAGGCGAGATTCGCGAACCGTCCTTTCGTTACCCTCCCCCTTGCAGCGGGGCTGCCAGGCATCCCTCGTGATCCATTCACGGCTTGACTTGGCGTTCCACCAGCAGTCAATCCCTCATTCACTGCACTTCGCACGGCGCGTGTCAGCCACTAAAATTCCCACGTGGCCCTCTGGCGCTTCCTCTCCACTTTCTATACGAAAAAAGTAATCACCTTTTAGGGAGAGCCGTGTTCCATTGCGTATCCGTCCGCGAGGCATTGTGCGGGTTGCCGCATTACAGCCCTGCTACCGCCGTTGCTCGCGGCACTCCGTCCCTGCCGTCCGCAGCTCCGCCATGACCCACGCAGATCCCGCTGCGCGCCAAGCGGCGATCGCCGACGCAAGGAATGACGTGGATCAGGCGGCGGGCGGAGCGGAGTTGGGGCAGGCGGCGGGTGATAGCGGCGGGGAGTGGGCGGCGGTGGGGCTGGGCCTGGTGGAGGTGCATCTGGCCGCCAACGAGAGCCCCGCGTCGCGCGAAAAGCGCATTCGCGCGCTTTTTCAGACGTTCGACACCGAAAATAGAGGTGGGGCGACGCGGGAATAGCGATGGGATGAAATTGGAATAGCCGCTGATGAAATGCGCGCAGAGTACTAGGGCGTAGTTGCACGCTTTTCAAGGTAAAACAGGGGGGTACAGATGGTGTAGCATGGTGGCTTATCGCACCGCGCCGTGACATGGCAGCTTGATAACTCGGTAGCACAGCGCGCCGATCTCTGCGGGCCGTCATTCCGCGCCCCTTGCAACTTGTCCGCCTCTTGCTGCCTCCCCTCCCCCCCGCCTTCCCCCCGGTGGCGCGTGGCAGGCGCGCTGACGCGGAGGCAGATAGAGAGGGGGTTGGCGCGCATGGGCGTGCCGGTGGACTACAAGTTCTCCAAGGACCTCCTCGCCGCCATCGACCAGGTGCGCGCTCGCCGCCATCGACCAGGTGCGCGCTCGCCGCCATCCGCCATCCGCCTGGTAACATTCGTTTCGCAGTCCCACACACCAGCGGTGGTTGGCGTGTTCCGCTCCTCAACGTTCCATTCACTGCGCACTGACCTCCTCCGCCGTCCCACTCTCTCCCCTCCCCTCCCCTTTCCGCCCCCGGCTGGGTGCAGAACGGTGACGGCGTGTGTGACTATAACGAGTTCCACCGCTACATGGACAGCAAGGAGGTGCAGCTGTACCGCCTCTTCCAGCGCATCGACACCGACTTCGATGGCGCCATCTCCCTTCATGAACTCGCTGCCGCGCTGCACCACGCCGGTAACCACCCACCTCCGCAACATGCCTCCTACTCTCAGCCTTGCGGTTGCCCTTCCCAGCACAAGTGAAGGCCATAGCGCTGTGGCCCCCTTGCCCCATATACCTCTCACTCGCCCCCTCCCCATGCCCATACATCCCCACACACTCCCTATACACCATAATTCTCACACCCTCCCATGCCCCACACCTCTCTCTCACACCCTCCCCACACCCCATGCCCCTCCCCTCCCGTCTGTGCGTGGCAGGCATACACCTGGCGGCGGGCGAGCTACAGGCGTTTATGGAGAAGATGGATCGCAACCACGATGGCGTGCTGTCCTTCAACGAGTGGCGCGACTTCCTGCTGCTCTTCCCCCACCGCGCCACCTCCATCGCCACCGCCTACCAGGTCCGTGCCTCTGCCTGTCTGTGCACCCGCTGCTGCCATCACCACACCATCACCATGCCCTTTCCATGCACGGAGCCCGCATGGCCGAGCCCGCATGGCCGAACCTGCATGGCCGAACCTGCATGGCCGAACCTGCATGGCTGAACCTGCATGGCCGAACCTGCATGGCCGAACCTGCATGGCCGAACCTGCATGGCCGAACCTGCATGGCCGAACCTGCATGGCCGAACCTGCAGATACCTGCAGCAAAGAAGGCCTTGCTCTCCTGCATCTCCTCCAGCACCCTCCCAGTCCTCGCCTTCACCGTCCCCTCACCTCATGCTCACTCTACCGTCCTCCTCTCATATGCGTGACTGTCCCTGCTGCTTCTGCCATGCCTTCCCCCTTTTGCCCCCCATTCTCTGTGCCCCTCGCCTGCCACACCAACCCTGCTCCCCCCTCCTCCCCTTGCCCAACCCCCCCGCAGTACTGGGAGCGAGTGCAGCAGGTGGACATAGGCGAGCAGCCAGTCATCCCCTCGGGTCTCTCTGCCGCCCCTGACGCATCCGCCCTGGCGTGGCGCTACTTCCTGGCGGGCGGAGTGGCGGGTGCCGTGTCGCGCACCGCCACCGCGCCACTGGACCGCCTCAAGGTGCTCCTGCAGTGCGCCAAGCCCGCCAGCCCCTCGCTCCCCGCTGCTGCTGCTGCCGCTTCTGCTGCTGCCGGTGCTGCTGCTGCTACTAGAGCTGGTGCCGCTGGTGCTGGTGCTGGTGCGGTGGCAGCCGCTACAACACGTGCTGCTGGCGCGAGTGGTGTAGCAGGTAGAGCTGTGCACGCAGCAGGGGGGGGGGCACAGGCAGGTGGCACCCGAGGGACAGCGGCAGCAGTGTCAACAGCAACCGGAGGAGCAAGAGAGGGAGCAGCAAGGGCAGGCGTGGGAGGAAGGCTGTCCAGTGCCGCTGTTCCTGGTGCAGCAGCCAGTGCCGCTGTTCCTGGTGCAGCAGCCAGTGCCGCACCTTCCCCAGCTACCACCTCACGCCAGGCAATATCCTCACCACCACCACAACCAGCGGCAGCAGCACAATCGTCCGTCCCAGCCTCCCACCACCACCCCCCACCCCCATCCCGTGCCACACCCCCTTCCTCCTCCGCTTCCTCCCCCACCCCCCACCACTCCTCCCGCCCATGCCATTCCCGCTGGCAGTTCTCCCTCCTCCGCGCCCCCTCCCCCTCGCCCCCCTCTCTCCCACCTCCACCCCCTGCACTGCCGCCCAACATGCCGCTCTGGTGGCAAAACATGCAGCCTGGGCGGCAGGCCACAATCGCCGGGCGGCAGCAGCTGGCGGGCGGGCGGCTGACGCTGTGGAGGGCGGTGCAGCAGGTGTACGGGGAGGGGGGCGTGGGGGCGTTCTTCAAGGGCAACGGCATCAACGTGGTCAAGGTGGCGCCCGAGTCAGCCATCAAGTTCTACGCCTATGAGCTGCTCAAACGCACCATCTCCCCCCCTGCTGCTGCTGGGAGCGGGGGCACTGAGGTGAGACCAGCTGAAGCATGTGTCCGTGCAACTAGATCACTCCACTCCTCTCTCTTCAAGGTGGCGCCCGAGTCAGCCATCAAGTTATATGCTTATGAGCTGCTCAAACGCGCCATCTCCCCCCCTGCTGCTGCTGGGAGTGCTGGTGCTGCTGAGGTGAGGCCAGCTAGAATATGAGATTTTCCAACCGTGCATTCACTCCGGCCCTCCCTGTTTCCACCTCCACCTGTGCACTCTCACTTGATTCCATTGACCAAGCACACGTGTGCATTCACGTGCTCCTTCTTTCTTTCCAACCGTTTCCACACCCCCTGTTCCCACTCTTTCCACGCGTGTGGGCAGAAATCAAGTGAAACAGCGCTGACACGGCTGGTGGCGGGGGGCATGGCAGGCGCCGTGGCACAGACCGCCGTGTACCCACTCGACCTCGTCAAGACGCGCCTGCAGACCTACCACCTCACATACGGCCGAAACCCGCCGCCCCTCGCCGCCCTGACGGCGGAGATCCTGCAGAGGGAGGGGGCGGGCGCCATGTTCCGCGGGCTGCTGCCGTCCATCCTGGGCATGATCCCATTCGCTGGCATCGACCTGGCGGCGTATGAGACACTCCGAGATGCCTTCACCCCGTGGATCGAACGCCGCCCAGGTGCGTGCAGACACTCATGGCACAGCATGGCACGGCACTCCGTTTGCTGCCTTCACTGCTGCTGCACTCATCGTGCTGCCCAGCCTTAAGCCTCGTCCCCATCCTCCCTTGGAATCCGCCCCTTGCACCCCTGACCGCTACCCTGCCTCATGCTTGTTCCTCCCTCCGGTCAATCCCCTCTGGCCCCACGTGTCTTGTGCCCTGTGTGTGCCCCCTGTGTGCTGGTCAGAGGCGGCACCGCTGCTACAGCTGGCGTGTGGCACGGTGTCAGCCACGGTGGCCGCCACCCTCGTCTTCCCCCTGCAGGTCATCCGCACCAGGTCAGGCCCCTGCCCTCTCCTGCCATTACACAAGTTTCACACATTGAGTGCACCTTTTCACGTGGGCGTGCGTCAAACTACCATTTGCCCAGCTTCCTCTTCCAAACTAGGCACCATACCTCTTGGGCCCCTGTGTGGCAGGCTGCAAGCACACGTCAGCGCACCACATGCACCAAGCACCATTCCTATGCTGGGATCGCCAGCAGCAGCAGCAGCATTGTCGGGCATGGGTGTGGCAGGCAGGGGGCCGACGATGGGGGAGGTGACACGGGAGCTGTGGCAGGAGGGGGGCGTGCATGCCTTTTTCCGAGGAGTGCTGCCCAACCTGCTCAAGGTGGTGCCCGCTGCCAGCATCACATACGTCACGTACGAGCACATGAAGAAAGTGCTCGCACTTAACTAGGGGATTGGAATCTACGCGTAGCTGTAAATTATGGTATATGATTAGCTAGCACACTCGTGCATATCATGGTGTGGGTGGACAAATCAGCACAAGTGTTAGCTGGCTATGTACCAGGCCCCTAGATTGGTTTTGGGGTAGGCTGAAAAATCAGAGTTCGCTCGCAAATTTCCGCTGAAAATCAGCCAAAAATGACATATTCCCATTAAAACACACTAGAAAATCACCAAGCTTTTTGGGGAAAAGGCTGACAAATCAGCCTTGGTACAGAAAAAAAGGCTGAATGAAGGCTGAATCAGCGTAAAAAGGCTGAAATCTAGGGGCCTGCTATGTACCCACCCTCCAAGCGAAATGTTGCATATAGCATGTGGGTTCCTGCTTGGGTTGTTGAGGCTATTGTACATGAGGTAGGAGATACGCTGAGGGCTGGCAGACATGCCGAGGGCTGGCAGACATGCCGAGGGCTGGCAGACATGCCGAGGGCTGGCAGACATGCCGAGGGCTGGCAGACATGCCGAGGGCTGGCAGACATGCCGACGGCTGGCAGACATGCCGACGGCTGGCAGACATGCCGAGGGCTGGCAGACATGCCGAGGGCTGGCAGACATGCCGAGGGCTGGCAGACATGCCGAGGGCTGGCAGACATGCCGAGGGCTGGCAGACATGCCGAGGGCTGGCAGACATGCCGAGGGCTGGCAGACATGCCGAGGGCTGGCAGACATGCCGAGGGCTGGCAGACATGCCGAGGGCTGGCTGGCACTCCGTGGCTCTCTGTACTGTGTGACGGCATGCAGGTGCCCTTCAGCGGGCAGTCAACTCCCTTCTTCCCTGCTTACCTTCTGACACCGTTATGCACACGTGCAGTGAGAGGGGCTACGTTAAATGAAAGGTCTCTACGTTGGAAGGACTGGCTTTATTACTGATAATGCAAGGCATGCACATAAGGGTGACAAGCACAGCAGAAGCAAACCACTACTATCGGCAGAGGCGGGCCACAACACATGGCGCCATGCCCTCCAATCGCTCCCACTGCGTCGGCATCCTACCCATCCTCTAACTCAAATCCAGCCGACGGAAAAAGCTAGGGCTAGCGGCGGCGTGGAGCGGGCCTACTGGGAGACGAGGTCGGGGTAGTAGAAGTAGACGATGCGCCCGTTGATGGGCTGCGGCACGCGGTTGTCGGTGCGCTCGCCGTTATTGGTAACCGCCATCATGTTCATGAACTGAATGGTCTGCGCGACGGAGAGCGACTGCGACTTGCGAAGCACGTGCCACTGCACGATCTCGTCGCACTCGGGCGTCGTGAGCGACCCGGGGTACGTCCAGAAGCCCATGGCCGGCGCCATCATCGACGACCAGAAGTCCGCGCTCACGGGAACCGTCACGTTCGCGCCGTTCGCCGCCGGCGCGCGGTCCAGCCACCTGCGGAGGCGCGGAGGGAGATTCGGGATCAGACAGCATGAGATGAGGGGAGACTAAAAGTGTTCCCTTTCTCGTGCGAAATGTGGCGTTGGTTCTATCGATTGAAATTTCCATGCAATCTGCAGTGATTGAGGCAAGCGGGGGAGGGGGAACTCACTGGGTGATCCAGGTGGAGTTGGCGTCGTCGCGGTGGAGGCGCAGCATGACGCCCACGACGGCGAGCTTCTTGGGATCATCGACGTGCACGTGCACGAAGTGCGCCTCCATGGGCGCGAACAGCCCGTTCACCGTGTGCTCCGACATGGCGTGCACGTGCATCTGCAGCAGCGCGTACGTGCCCGACGACAGGTGCAGCAGGTGCGACTCCGTCGCCGCCGGCACCACCTCTGCGCGGAGCGGAACACGAGAGGAAAAACGTTGTGACGTGAGGCAATGCCGCGCATTCGTCACAGCGGGACAGCACTAATAATTCAATGGAGAGTACAGCAATGAGTGGCGAGGCGGCACGCACGGATGGTGGAGCCCTTGTTGAGGACGGCGACGGAGGCGGCCTTGGAGTAGTTGAGGTGGAAGAGCTCCTTCGAGGCGCCCAGCACCGCCTCGTCCATCACGATGTTTATCGGCGACTGCCGCTCGCCCGACGCGCACGCGCCCTGCGCAGGGTCAGAAATGGCAACCGAGAGATTGAATTTTGCTGAGATTTCCGCATTTTCTCACGTTTGTTGGTCAGGAACTTGGAAAACGCTGCGAGCTACATGTGGAGAGGCCCGCAATGATGGGGGCGTGGAATTTACCGTCCAGTCAGTGCCGCTCTTGTCGTAAGAGAAGGGCACGGCGGCGCCATTTGCAAGGGCGACGACGCCGAGGACGAGGGCGACGAAGATCAGAGTGCGAGCCATGGCGGCGAGATGGGATCGTCGCGAACAAACGTGCAGGTAGACGAGGGGCTCTGAGGTTGATTGGTACGCAAAATCAAACTGAATTGTAACTCTGGGAATGCCGGAGAACTTTATTTGTGTGCGAGATGTGGGCCGTGGCGTGAATTTGCATTTGATACAAGTGCATGTGGTGTGGTGGATGGATTTCACGATTCGCGATTCGTGCTTTGGTGCATCCTCCCCTCCCCAGGTACGGCGCGAACCGAGCGGGGTTGCATCTGGGAAGAGATTCCGGCTCGGAAAGAATTGAGCCGATGTTGGGCCAGGGGGGTTAGGGGGAAGAATGGCTCAAACCCAATCCAAGGACGTGAGAGGTTGAGTGGCTGGGAGAAAGTGCTGATGTCAGCAGTCGTGCAGTTGAACCTGGTGGAGCTTGCAATTTGCGGTGGAGGATGATTGGGCGAGTCCTCGTCGATGACATGAACGCACCTGGTGTGATTGGAGAGACAGGGAAAGGGAACAGCTCCTTTTCCGAGTTCATTCAATTGGTGTTTCATTATCTTTCAGGTGCTTGTATTGAATGGAGACAACTAAGGAAACAAGGAGTTGAAACAGTGCAGCTATTGTGGAATATGTCTACTGCTGTAACTTTAACAATAACAATACATTCGTTCTTTTATTTGTCCTATAATTGGCATGCAATGAGATGAAAACGATGCTTCTGCTGCTTCCCTCATAATTCAAGCAAGGGGATACGGGAAATACTGGGGAAAGGAGTAAGGAAGGAACAAGGTGATCAGGGGAACCGGGGGTGCAGGGCAACAACAAGAGCAAGATAACGAAGAGCACATGGAAGCGAGGAAAGAGTAATATGCAGGAACAAGAAAAGGAACAAGCATGGGCTTTTGTATTATTTTTATTTACGCTTGGGATGGGAGGCCCAGAATATTGCAGAGTTAGGTCCTGAACCAACCACTACTACACCTAGTTCTGGGCTATTTTCAACCATGCATTGCATTGAATGCATTCTTATTGACAACAAGTGGCTATCCAGAGTGCATCCGTCAGGTGTATCAATGGACACCTACCTATATCGGGTTCACGATCTAGAAAGCAAAGAACCAGCCCGCTCAACCTGCGTACTCGCCAGGTTTGTCCGTATAGTATTCGAGTATGCGACTCCCTTCCCTGCTAACTGACATTTAGCCGGTAGACCGAGCGGAATGGAGGACGACGATTTCGAAGATCTCTACGGCGATGTGGGCGCGGCAGCCGTCCCCGCGAGCGCCACCGGCACTCCCACATCCGTGCGACTGGCGTACGACTACGGGCTGGGCGGCGACGACGACCTCGAGGATGCCGACGACGAGGCGCTGCTCTACGGCTCGTCGCTCGCCGCACCACCCGCTCCTGCGATTCCCGTACCCGCGAAACCCGAGCCTGTCGACCAGATCGCACCGCCGTCGTCTATCCCCACCTTACTTAAGCCGGAGCCACCTAAGTCTCTTGCTGTAGCCCCGTCGATTCCACCCCCTGCGATCGCATCCGCACCCAACGGCCGCGAGGCCGTGCACGCTGTGCCGATAGCGGCATCCATCCCTACCCCTCTCACCTCGCCTCCTGTTTCGCCTGCTGCCGCTCGTCCGTCTAATGCCGGAGAAGCTTTAGACGCGGACGGGGAAGCGGCACCCTATGCTTCGTCGGCGCCATCGGGAGGAAATGGAGTCCCGCCCGCGACTGGCGGTGGATTGCAGGAGCGCGGGCGCGGCGAGGAGGAGCAAGAGGAGGCGGAGGAGGACGAAGAGGATGCATTCTACAATCAGCTGTACGGGGGTGGGAAGGATCGTGCGGAGGAAGAATTGGAGGAGCAGGATACGAGCCCCAGTGGCGGCGACGCAGGCGGCATTGGCGGGGAAAGCCGCGCTGAGGAGGGCGAGCGGGAGGCACTGCGCGCCGACGCCGCTGGACCGACCTCGAACTCCCATGACCGCTCTGCCTCCGCCGCCGCTGCTCTATTGAATGTGCCTGTAGCGGGAGACGTTGAGCGGCATGACGAAAAGGAATATTTTTTTGGGGGGATGAAAGGGGAAGATGATGCGGAAATGGGGGAGGCGGAGGCAGGGCGGAAGGATGCGGGCGCAAGGGCGGAAGATGGTGTGATTGCGGAGAGTGCAGAGGGAGGTAGCGCAGGGGGGATTAGGGTTGGGGCCGGCGGAGTGGGGGGCAAGCAGGAGATAGCAGAGGGGGAGGAGGAGGAAGAAGAAGAAGAAGAGGATTTGGAGAAGTTTCTATACAGCGCGGGGGACGGTGATGGTGGGGGAGTCGGTGGCGAGGATGTTGGCGGAAAGGAAGGCGCGGAGGGCCAGCAGAGCCTGTATCCCTTCGCGGAGCTTGAGGCGGAAGAGGCGGAGGAGGCAGAAGAGGCGAGGGAGGCGGAGGAGGAGGCGGAGACGTTAAAAGAAGAGGAGGGGAAGGCAGGGGATGGAGCAGACGGGCGAGGCGGGGACGAGCGGGTAGCTATGGACGTTGACGGGGATGCGCGCGAAGGGCTTGGGGGACGGGCCGGGGGGGATGAGGTGGCGGAGGCGGGGAAGCGCGAGGTGGAGGGGAAGGGGATGGAAGGGGAAGGGGAACTGAAGGCGGAAGAGGACAGGGGGAGCGGTGCCGCGGAAGGGAAGGAGGCGGTAGCGGATGGGGCGGGGGGAGCAGAGGGGGAGGGGGGAGAGGAGGAGGAAGAGGAAGAGGAAGAGGAAGAGGAGGATGAGGAGAGTGAGGATGATGATGACGATCTGATCATCGTGGCCAATGACCCGGTGCCACCTGTCGGCGAGTGGGACGAAGGCATGGGGGAGGAGGGCATGTATGGCATGGGCGCAGGGGGGGAGTACGGTGCCATGCCTGGGGGCGCGGGGGGAGGCCAAGGGGAGGAAGGCGCGGAGGGCGCAGAGGGGGAGGGGGGAGGTGGTGCGGGGGGTCCAGGCACCCCGGCAGTGCAGGGGGCAGCGGGAGCAGGGCGCGGGTACCGAGTGACACCGCCCTCCAAGGTGCCGCACCCACATGCCTCTCGCCTTGCTTGCTTCCCTTGCTGGTTACCTTACCACACCTGTCACCTGCTACTTGCACTTCTCACCATGCACGCGCCTTTGGTCATCCCATGCACCCCCACCCGCGCACAACCTCCCCCCTGCCTTCTTGCTTCCCCGATCCCTGCCCCCCCACGCCCCATTCCCCCCCCCCCTTCCCGTTCCCCTCTACCGCAGGGCCATTCCCCCATGGGCATGGAAGGCGCAGGCATGGGCGCAACGCCCCCCGCTCCCCCTGGTTCCGCCCCTGGCGCGCTTGCAGCAGGGGGAGGGCCAGGGGGAGCTGGCGGGCAGGGGGGAGGGTGGGCAGGAGGCATGGGGGGCCGAATGGGCGCAGGGGGCGCAGCAATGGGGGGAGGGGCGGGGCAGCAGGGGCAGTACCAGCAGCAGGCGAGCGGGCAGGGGGGAAGGCCACCGGCAGTGTGGCAGCATGGGTCGGGGCAGGGGTATCACATAGAGATCAACCTGCCGCCCACCAAGTCAGTGCCACTCTATTGAAGGCCCCTTTGCACTGCCACCACCGTTCCTTCCAGCTGCACTTAACCCTTTTTTAGACGATCGAGAGACTTCTGCGTCCATTGACTTTGGTTGACTCGTTTGATCGTGCAGGATGGTGGTTAACATGTTGATTTGGACTCGTTTGACTCGTTTGACTGGTGTGACTGGTGTGAGTGGTGTGATGATGCAGGACGGTGTTTGACCTGGACATAGACAGTCTGGAGGACAAGCCATGGCGGCGCCCGGGAGCGGATGTGAGCGACTACTTCAACTTCGACCTCAACGAGGGGGCATGGCGCCACTACTGCCACCGCCTTGTATGCTCCTCCCTTCCCTCCCTCACCCTTTCCTTGCGCCCCCGCGCAATTTCCCTCGTACTCTCTCCATCCCTTCTTCCCTCCCCATCCTCTCATTCCTCCCCTCCTTCTCATCTTCCCCACACTCCTTCCACCCTTCCCCTCTCCCCCCACCCGCCTCTTGCCAACAGGCGCAGCTGCGGCTGGAGGCGAGCATGCAGAGCCGCATTCCCGTGTTTGAGTCGCGCATGCCCACTGAGGTCAGTGCTCCGCGCCAGTCAACGCCAGTCAACGCCAGTCAGTCCATGCTAGCAATTGCAGCATACCTAATGCCGCGAGCCAATGCGAGTCAATGCGAGTCAACCGCAGTGGCATCACATGTGCTGCAGACCCATCCAGTCAGCAGCACGAGGCGGTGCAGAACACAAGGGATGCAATGGCAGTGTGCATTGGATGAATCACACGTCTCACAACCCCCCAGCCATTACAACTCACTCCAGCCTCCTCTCCATCCTGCCTCTCTTCCTCATGCCCCCATTCGTACCGCTTCGACTCATACCCCACCTCCCTTTCCCCCCTCCTCCCGTCCTCTCCTCCTCCCCCTCTCCCCCTCCTCGCCCCCTCTCTCCCTCGGCAGGACATAGACCCAGAGATGCCGCCCGAGCTGGTGACAGCTGTCACACACGCCATGGTCAGCCGCCCGCATGCCGACGCCGTCTTCTTCGTCGAGCGCCGCCCCTCCTGGGAGACCCGCCGCCCGCGCCCGGTGGATGCTGACGTCATCATAGAGGTGAGGCGATTGCTGACGTCATGGGGACATGAATGAGGCACATGATTCATCCAGGATGGTGGCTGTATGCCATGGTGATTAGGTTCCTGCTTTCCCATGCACACCCCCCGTGCACACCCCCCGTGCACACCACTCCGTCCCATCCCCCACCCCAGCTCAGTGCTCCCCTCCTTTCCCTGTCCTTGCCCTCGTTTTCCCCCGCCCTACATGGCCTCCCATCCCATATGCGCCCCTGCAGGTGCCGGTAGTGGGGCTGGCCATGGACGCGCCTCCTCCACAGCCCCCTCCCCCCGCCGCCGCTCCTCTTGCCACCCCCCATGCTGCTGCTGCTCACGCGCACAGGGGGATGGGCGCAGCAGGGGGAGGCGGAGGGGGAGGAGCAGGGGGAGGGGCAGGGGGAGGATCCGTGGGAGGGGGAGGACCTAGTGGCAGTGCAGGGGGGGGAGGTGGGAGGATGCAGGGGGAGGGGCAGGGAGGCAGGGCGGTATCAGGGCAGCAGGGCGCACCTGGGGGAGGGCCAGCCAGCTCAGGTGGCACCCCAGCTGTTTCTTCAGGTGCCGCCGCTGCTGCTGGCCCGCCCTCCCGTGCTGCCTCTGTGGAGGGCGCGTCTGGCGCAGTGGCAGGGGGGGTAGGGGGGGGAGCAGCGGGGGGACCGACCGGTGCTCTCCCCCCGCCTCCCCCTCTCCCCCGAGGGCAGCATCCCCCCTTCCCCCCCATGTTTCCAGGGGGGCCCGATGGCATGGGCATGGGCGCGGGCATGGGGCCAGGGATGGGGACGGGGATGGGCATGGGGGGAAGGGGGATGGGCATGGGGCGGGGAGGAATGGGCGGATTCGGCATGGAGGGCGGAGGGAGGGGGCGAGGCATGGGGCCAGGCGGAGGGCACATGATGAGGTGAGCACGCGGGTGTGGTGGTGGGGGGCCAGAGTGTGCGGTGGTGAGGGGTGATGATGTGAACTGTGAACTGGTATGATACGGGCGGCGGGCCATGTCTTGTAAGGTGGCGAGAGTGGTGTGGAGTGGTGTGATGTGGTGTGGTGTATTGTGCATCTCATATCTAGTGTAGGTCATGTTTTCTCCCCGCATGTCCCATCCCCTCCCCATGCCCCTGTCTCCCTACATGCCCTTCTGACTCCTCTCCCTGCACCCTGCCATTCCCCTTCCCCTCCCCCACTCCGCTTCCATTTCCCCCTACGCCCTCACCCACCCCCCTCCGTTTACCCACTCACTCCACCCTTGCTCCCCCCGTTTACACCCCCCCTCCCCTCCCCCAGTCCCAGTCCGCCCATGGGCATGAAGGGGGGAATGCTGCCCCCACACATGCTGCCCCCCCATGCCCACCCCATGTTCCTCCGCGGCCCCCCTGGGGGCGCTGGCCCCATGGGCGGACCCATGGGCGGAGGCATGGGCGGAGGCATGGGGGGAGGGATGGGGGGCGCAGGGGGACCCATGGGGGGAGGCGGCAGGCGAGGAGGATTCGATATGGGGGGCGGAGGGGGGTTTTCCGGGGGAATGGGAATGCACCGCCCCCCTCTTTCCCCCTCCCATGCTGCCAGCTATGCGACTGGGGGGGAGAGCATGGGGGAAGGGGAGGGGCGCACAGGGGCAAAGTCACGGCGCCAGGGGAGGGGGAGGGGGGGGCGGGGGGATGTGGAGGAGGACGATGAGGAGGGGGGTGGGGAGGATGAGGGTATGGGAAGGAGGAGAGAGGATAGGAGGAGGGGGCAGAGAGAGTGGGAGGAGGAGGAGGAGATGGAGAAAGGGAGAGGGAGAGAGGGCGGGAAAGGGCAAGGCTGGGACGAGTATGGGGGCAAAGAGAGGAAGCGGAGGAGAGTGAGGGGGGAGGAGGGGCATGAGGAGGGGGATGAAGAGTGGGAGGAGGAGAGGGGACGGCGGGGGGAATGGAGGGGGAGGGACGGCAGGGGGGAGAGGGAGTGGGGGAGAGAGAAAGGGGGCCTGTGGGGGGAGAGGGACCGGAGGGGCGGAAGGGGAGGAGAAGGGGAGGGGTATGGGCGGCGGGGGAGGGGCATGGGGAGGGAGGAAGGGGGGTTCGGAGAGGGGGGCATGGGGGGAAGGGAGCGAGGGGAGGAGAGGCGGGGGAGGTACAGGGGGGAGGAGGAGGGGCGGAGGCCGGGGGAAGTGGGGTGGCGGAGGGAGGGGCGCGAGGGGGGTGAGGGGGGGAGAGTGTCAGGGTTTGACAAGCGCGGGGGAGAGTTTGGGGAGGGGAAAGAGGGTAGGCGGGAGAAGAGGGAATGGACAGAGGAGAGAGGGGGGGATGAGAAGCGAAGGAGGGGAATGGGGCGGAGGGGAGAGGACGACAAGGGAGGGGAGTTTGGGCGTGCAAAGGGAATGCGCGGAGGGGGCGAGTGGGAGGAGGAGAGGGAGGAGTGGGATGGGTGGGGAGAGAGAGGCGCGTCTGTGGAACGGCGGGGGGGACGGCGGGGAGAGGAGGAGGGGAAGAAGCCTAGGCGGGGGGGACGAGAAGAGTGGGATGAGCGCGGATGGGAGGAGAATGTGGGCAGGGGGGAGGAGCATGCGGGGAAGAGAGGGAAGAGGGATGGGCGGGAAGGGAGGCAATGGAGGGGGGATAGGGAGAGTGAAGGAGAGGAAGACTGGGCAGAGGGGAGGCATGAGGAGGGTACGAGGGAGAGGGGCCTGAAGGAGAAGCGAGGGAAGGGGGGGATGGAGGAGGCGAGGGGCGGAGGGGAGGCGGATGGGGAAGGGAGTTGGGCGTCTGGGGGCAGGGAGGGGAGGAGGGAGGGCGGGAGCAGGCGAAGGAGAGGTGGTTCGAGTGAAGGAGGCGAGGAGCTGGAGAGTGGCGGCGGGAGGGGCGTGCAGAGGGGCGAGGGTAGGGGAGAGGAGAAGGCCGCAGAGAGAGGAGAGGGGAAGAGCGGAGCGCGGGGTAAGGGGAAGGGAGTTGTCGCAGAGAGGGAGGAAGGAGGTGAGGGCGAGAGGAGGAGGGGACGGCGGGAGAAGCGGGAAGAGAAGGAAGGGAATGAGGATGGGGAGGGGGGTCGAGAGCAGAGCGAGAGAAAGGGGAAAGATGGGGAGGAGAGAGGAGAAGAGGAGGGTAGAGAGGGTAAGGAAGGGGAAGGAAGAGAGGGGGAGCAGGGGGAGGAGGAGGAGGAGGATGCGGGGGGAGACGCGGTGGACTATGGCAGCATGTGGGACGCTGATGGGGAAGGGGATGTGCCTCTGCACCCCCTGGAGAGCGGTGGGGGTGATGGGGCAGATGGCGGAGGTGGGGGGAATGGAAAGGGTGATAGGGGTGAGAGGGATGAGAGGGGTGGGAGGAAGGGAGAGGGCCCGGACGATGTGGCAGGGGACAGTGATGGAGAGGGTGAGAGGGAGCGGGGCAGGGGGGATGACGTGAGGCGGAAGGAGAGGGGGAGAGAACGGGAGAATGAGCAAGAGAAGGGCAGAGAACACGAGAAAAAAGGGAGGAAGGGGCGGGAGAGGGAGGAGGCAGCAGCAAGAGAGGCAGAGGAGGAGGGGCGTGGCATCACAGCCATTGAGCTCCCTCCCACCCCAGTAAGTCCGTGCCTCCGCGCACCCCCCATCACTCCGTCGCCTTGTGACCTCACCATGCTGTCATTGTCAGAACTTAGGCTTAGAACTGATACATTAGTAATGAGCTTGAAGCTCTTTAAGTACATCCAAGAAGGGCAAGGAATGGATGGGGAAGGGAATCGGGGGCAATCCCTAGGGATTGGGGGTAATCCCAAGGCAATCTCCAATTGGTGGGTTGGAGATTGCTTTGGAGATTACATTTGGGTTTGGTTGGGATGTAGGTGTACACCCAACCAAACACAAGGTGCAAACTACACTACTCTAGGATATAGAAAATATAAAGTACAAAGTGTGAGATTGAGGGCTAACACTAACAGTCATGTCGTCACCCCTTTGCCCCTTTGCCCCTTCACTCCTTCGCCCTTTCACCCCTTCGCCCCTTCGCCCCGTTGCTGCATTGCCCCATCAAACCTGACCCACTCTCCTTCTCATTGCCTTTCCCCACACCCTCACCTCCCCACCCCTCCCTCTCTCCCCTTCGCCCTTCCTCTCCCCCCCATCTCCGCCCTCCTCCCTGACGTCAGACTGTTGACATTGACGATGATGACGTGGCAGTGCCAGCTGGCGCAGAGGAGGGGGGAGAGAAGGAGAGGAGGAAGCATGGGGATCAGCAGGGAGAAGGAGGAGCGAGGGAGAGGGATCGAGGTGGTGGGGGCGGGGAGAGAAGGGAGAGAGAGAAAGGTGTTGAGGAGGGTGACGGTGGAGGGGAGGACGGGGAGGGAGGGACAGGAGGCAGAGAGAATGGTGAGGGAGAAGAGCGAGAGGAGCAAAAAGGTGGAGAGAGGGGAAGGGAGGAGGCAGGAGGCGGGGAGGAGGAGGAAGAGTATGATGATGAGCTGGCGTTTGAAGGGGAGGACTATGGTGACGTGTATGAGGAGGAAGACGAGGATGAGGAGGATGAGGGGGATGAGGGGGATGAGGGGGGCAGGGAGGGCAGGGAGAGGCAGAGGGGCAAATGGACGCGAGAGAGGGGTGGTGAGGGCGATGAAGGTCTCGATGCTGCTGCTGCCACTGGCGCAGCCAGGCGCTCTCCCCCCCATGCCCCGCACCAGCAGCATGAAGGAAGGTTCCATGAAGGCGGGAGGTACGGCGGAGGGCGGGGCAGGGGCCGGGGAGGGGGGCCCATGGGGCCTGGGCACATGCATGCACATGCACCTGGGCATGCGTATGGGGGGAGGCACGGGCGGCATGGGCGAGGCAGGTGGATGGGGGGCCGCATGGGCCCGAGGGATATGGGCATGGGCATGGGGATGATGGGCATGGGTATGGGGCCTGGTGGTATGGGGCCGGGTATGGGGGTGGGCATGGGTGGGATTGGTCCTGGTGTGAGTGGGGGAGGTGGCATGGTGAAGGGCGGGAGGACGATGGGAGGCAGTGGGGTTGGGAGGGAGGAGTACGGGCACTGCCCTCCCATGGGCTACGGGCGACTGCCTGTGGATGCGCCCCTTGGCAGGATGGGAGTGGACGGTGGGGGGTTCGGCAGGAGGGGAGGGGAGGTGCTGGGTCGAAGGCAGGAGGGGCCGAGGGAGGGTGGGGTGGGGTTGGGAGAAAGGGAGGAGAGGGATAGGGAGGGAGGGGAGAGGAGGGGGGTGTGGAGAGAGGAGCGGGAGGAGAGAGGTGAGAGGGGTGAGAGGGGTGAAAGGAGTGAGAGGAAGTGGAAGGAGGAGCGAGAGAAGGAGAGGGGGCTGAAGGAGGAGCGTGGAGGGAGTGTGGGTCCGGAGTCAGAAAGGAGTGCGAGGAGAGGGGTGAAAGACGAGAGGGGTGAGAGGAAGGAGAGGGGCGAGCGGAGGGAGAAGGATGAGAAGAGTGAGAAGGTTGACAAGGGTGAAAGGAGTGGCAGGGGAGATAAGGGAGAGAGGGAGGGGCGAGAGAGAGAGGAGAGGGAGGGAGGAATGGAGAGGGTGAGTGAGGAGGGGAGAGGCAGGGATAGGCACAAGCAGAGAGGGAGGGAGAAAGGCGGTGAGAAAGAAAGAGGAGAGAAGGAGAGGGAACGAGAGAGGGGAAGGGAGAGGGGAGCAAGTGTGGGAGAGGAGCGTGATAGGGAGTTGGCAGGGAGGGGGGAAGAGAGGCAGGGGATGAAGGGAGACAAGGAGGGGAGGCGAGGCGAGAGGGACGGGTGGAGAGGCGGTGAGGGGGTGGGGCGAGAGGGGGTGGGGCGAGAGGGGGTGGGGCGAGAGGGGGTGGGGCGAGAATCGATGGGCAGTGAGGGTGCAGGCAAGGAGGGGCCGGTTGTGGACCTGCGGGCGAAGCTGCGCGAGGAGAAGGGGCGTGGTGGGCGTGGGAGGGACAAGGACGCACGGGAATGGGAGGGCGACGAGCGGGAGGAGCGGAGCCGCAAGCGCGGGCGGGGGAGGTATGAGAAGGAGAGGTCAAAGGAGCGTGGCAAGGAGAGGGGAGGGGCAGGCGGAATGGAGGGATTGGGCGAGGCAGCAGGGGAGAGGAGGCGGGGAGGGGAGGCACGCGAGGGGGAGAGAGGCGAGCGTCACGCACACAGGGGCATGCCTGCTGCTGCTGCGGAGGAGGGCAGGCGGACAAGCACTGCGCCCCACTCGCCCTCCCCTGCTCCTGCTGACACTGCTGCTGCTGCAGGTGTTGGTGGGGGTGGAGTGCGGCGCAGTGCGGTGCAGCGCACGGATGGGCACCTGGTAGTGCAAGTGGGGGGGCGAGGGGGGGAGGGGGCGGCGGACAGGCGGGGAGGGGGGGCGTGGCGGGAGAGTCAGGGCCACCTGGTGGTGCACGTGGGGGGAGGGGGCGGGGGAGTGGATGGTCGCAAGGAGAGTGGGGGGGAGGAGGGCGGGGGTGGCGCGTATGGTGCGGGGGGGAGGAAGCGCAAGTCAGATGACGGGGGGTTGGGCGGGGACACACGCAGAGACAGGGATGGAGCAGGCGAGGGAGGGGGAAGGGGGGTGGGGGGGGAGGCGGGCAGCATGGCAAGCGGTGGCGGAGGAGGTGGCAGGGCAGAGGGTGGGGGCGAAGGGGCGGCTGGGGGGGAGGGCAAGACAGAGAGGCCGGCACGCAAGAGGCGGTGGGCGTGAGGGTGAGGGGTGAGGGCAGGCGTGCAGAGGGGGGGGGTGGTCCCAGTGGGGAGAGCCTGGGGCATGCGAGGTGCAGGAGATGCAGACGTGTGAGGGATGGGTGGATGAGGGATAAAGGGGAGGGAGGGAAGTGGGGAGGTGGGAGGAGGAATGGTGGCAGTGGTGGGGCAGGAGGTGGGGCGTGCGTGCTGGTGTGCGGGAGTGTGAAGGCATGCCCTCTGTGCGCACCACACGTCCGTGTGTGCTGTAGCAGCAGCAGGGGCGCATCCCCCTGGGCACATTGGTGGAGCATGGCAGTGGTTCACGCAGGTGGCTTGTGGTGCAGAGGGCCCGGTATGCGGAGTGCGCTACTCGGTTATGTGACGAAGCGGATTCCGAGTTGAGTCCCAAGGACGTGTTGGAGGGGAGAGAGAGTGGGATGCTGTGTGTGTGGGTGGCGTGTGCCACTAAGCTGCTGTCACAGCTGCACGCCATGAAGGCTGGAGGCCCCACTGCTTGCAGCGCTGCCCGAGGCTCCTTCCAGTTGCTTGTGAACCTTGTTTCCCACTTCACCCCCCTCCCTCCCTGTCTGCCTGCCTGCCGTGATGGCTGTGTGGAGCTGCTGGCGGCTGCTGTGCCACCATGAGCTCTCATGAGCAACCCCCCCAGCCCCTTGTGTGCCCCGGTAGCGCCCTTCCGTCTAGCAGCCTTCGCCGTGTAGCAGCCTCGGGCATCTAACATACTGCAACGTGTAGCGCCCTGCCTGGACCTTGTGCCCTCTGCCTGGATGCTCTCTGGATCGCCTTTGACTGACCGTTGACTTGCTTGACTTTGTTTGACTGGACACATGCATATTTGTGACTCGGCATGTGCATTACTGTTGAAAGCTGCTGCATGTGTAGCGATAGATGTGTGTGTGTAACTGGTTAAAGCTGCATGCGCATGCATGGACGTGAGTAGGAGTAGGATGGTGTGATGCAGGGTGCAGGTTGCATGCGTAGCATGTGTGGAGTTTCAGCGGAGGATGGAGCTGGTCCGTGGCCTCACAACACCACCGGTTGCAGCGTGTGTGAGGGGCCAACCAACAGCACCAGGACGCGCAAGAGCCTGCAGCACAGCGCATCCACCAAGAAGGGCGGCTTGAAAGAGTGCAGCACTCGCAACAGCCCTGCCCGCCAGAGCAGTACACCTTTAAGCTGGCAAAACAAAGCCTGAGCAGGCCTGTAGGGTGCAGAGTAGGTGGGTGCTACAGCGGCGAGCCATCTGAAACAAGCAGTGTGGGATGGGTGGAGACCAGGAGTACAGCAAGGCCCACCCCTGCCACCACCACTGTACTAGCTCTAGAATGCAACAGGTACACATAGCAAAGCCCTGTTGGGCGAGGGCGGTAGGGTGGATTGGGCACCAACTCGACAGATAGTGAGATGTGAAGCAGGATAGCGTGTGCAAGCGTGTAGGGTCTGCAGCAACCAAGAGCCTAGTCCCCTAGGGGTACCATGTGCATACAGTAGTGGCTAGAGACGGCCAGTAGGAGGAACGACAAAGATTCTCCCAACCAGTGTTGCTAGACCAATATGTATGAACATAATCACCCTCAGGTTCAATACAAAGTACCTACATGAGGGCGAGCACTTGAAGACACTGCATGCGGTCATGTGCGACGTGCATTGGTGAGGCGGGTGATGAGGCGCAGTGGAGAGGAGGCAGGTGAGGGTTCCACATGGAGGAGGCATGTGATGGGTGGTAGAAGAGGGGATGCTGGTGACGGTCACGGCATGAGCGCTGAGATGTATGCCATTGATATGAGCACCGCCTCCTGCTCTCACCCGTGCACGCATGCCAGGGGGGCAAAAGGGCAGAGGCACGGCACGGGATGGAATGGGATGAGATGGGAAGGGAAGGGACACAAGGCACACACAAGTGGTGAGGCAGGGAGGCAGCAGTGAGCAAGCAACTGGGAAGAGCCTTAGGACGCGTCACCTATGTTCGATCCCAGCACAAATCCTACGCAGGATCGTTTTATAGCGAGGAAAAAAAAAAAAAAAAAAAAAACGAAGGGTTTAGCGCCCTAGGAAGAAAAACCCTTCGTTTCTTTGGTTTTTATTCCCGCTATAAAACGATCCTGCGTAGGATCGGTGTTGGGTTCGAACATAGGTGACGCGTCCTTAGGGCGTGTTCCTACGCCTCTTATCAGGCAAACCTCTTATCAGGCTTGCATGGTACAATGCGCAAAGGGTCTGGGTTTAGGGGAATTTCAGTGTGATGCGACGCTAGCCTGATAAGAGGTTGGCCTGATAAGGGGCCGTAGGAACACGCCCTTAGCCATAAAGACACGTATAAGCACACCCACCATGCTGCTGTGACTTGCTGCTCTCAGGTCAGAGACCTGTTGCTCTCGCACGGCAGGAGCACATCCACCACGCTCCCCCTCACTCCACTCATGCAAACACGAGCCCAGCACCCTCCCTTCACCCCCCACCTCTCTTCCCTTTCCCACCTCCCCCTCACCCAACCAACCCCCCAGCAGCGCACCTCAGTGCGGATGGTGTGCAAGCCCTGGTGCGGGCACGTGTTGAGGTGCAGCTGGCACACCTGCCCCTCTCACCCCCCAACTGTCCCCTGTCCCACATCTCCTTCCCCCTTCACCCGCCCCTCCCCCCCCACCCTTCTCAAGAGCGCACCTCAGTGCGGATGGTGCGGGAGCCCTGGAAGGGGCACGTGTTGAGGTACAGCTGGCACAGCCCCCTCGGCTCCCTGCTGTCCCCCGCCAGCCCCTCGTCGCCCTCACACGCCTCCTCCAACCCCGCCACTCCCCCAAACACCACCAATAAATGCCTGTGAGCAGGGGAGGAGAGGGAGGGTGCAGTGGAAAGGAGGGCGATGAATTTCGAGACATCTCAAAAGCAGCCAGCCCCTCGTCGCCCTCACACGCCTCCTCCAACCCCGCCACGCCCCCAAACACCACCAATAAATGCCTGTCAAGGGGGGGCGAAAAGAATGGTGCAGTGGAAAGGAGGCAGACGAATTTTGAGACGTCTGAAAAGCAGCCAGCCGCTCGTTGCCCTCACACACACGCCTCCTCCAACCCCGCCACGCCCCCAAACACCACCAATAAATTCCTGCCAGGTGGGGAGCGTGGGGAGGATGGGGTGGGAAGGAGGGAGGAGAGAGGGGATGGAGGGACATGACGAGGCGCTTATCTGTGATTGTGTGGGGAGAACGGGCACAGAGGAGCAGGAGGAAGCGAGGTTTGAGACGTGTCAAAGCAGTGAGGAGGGGAGGGGAGAGGGCGCACCGGAAGGGAGGCAGTTTGAACTGCCCGATCTCCTTCACATCGCCGTGCTCCGACGTCCCTACGATCAGATCATACGCGCCTCCCCCCCCTGCTCCTCCCCCTTCCGCTCCCCCTTCCCCCCCTCCCTGCCCACCCTCACCCCCACCCCCCTCCCCATACAACCCCCGCTTCGCCCCTCTCTTCCTCCCCCCTCGCCGCCTCCTCTTCTTCCCCCGCCCCTCCTCTCCCTCCTCCCCTCCGTCTCCCCCGCCCTCCCTCCCCTCCCCCCCCTCCGCCCCATCCCCCTCCCCCGCACCCCCACTGCCCCCCACCACAGCAGCATCAGAGCTGCGCCCCTCCCCCGCCCTTTTTCCCCCGTCCCCCGAGCCCCCCGCTCCCCCCTCCGCGGAGGCAGGCGCGGGGGAGAAGGGGCAGGCGGAGAGGGCGCCAGAGACGCCCCTGGCAAGGCGGACAGTGTACCCCCAGTACTGCCCCCTCTCCCCCCACGGCACGTGCGGAGCCACCGCCGTCAGCAGCACTCCTGGGGGGAGGGGAGGGGGGAGGGAAGGAGGGGCGCGGAGATGGATTGGTGGAGGTGGTGAGGGTAGTGGAGGGAGGCAAGGAGGGAGGGAGGGACAGGGGGCGGTCACGAATGCGCTGCACTGTGCACTGCTGAACTCCCCACTCCTTCAATCCCCCACCGCCATACCACCCCCCTGCACCCCTCCGCATCCCCCCCCGCCCCCCCGTCTCCCACCTGGCTGAAACACCTTCTCTCGCTCAGCAACAGGCCCCATGGCCACTGTCAGCCGCGTGCCTTCCGAGAAGCTTCCTCGCACACGCACTCTCTGCCATGAATGTACGCACATGGGGTTTTTCAGGAGGGGAGGAGGCAGACATGTGGGAATGGGGGAATGGGGGAATGTGGGGAGGAAGGAAGGGGGATGGCAGGCGAGTGCAGGAGAACGGCGCAATGTAATTCAAACGACCCGCACTCCCCCCTCTGCTGAACAACAACTCCCCTTCCGCCCAATCCCCAGCTTCACTCCCCGCTCCCCCCCACCTGCTGCAGCCCCACGTCCACGGCGCAGCTCCCCCCTGTGCGCGCCTCTCCCCCTTCCCCCTCCGCCACCACCACGCCCTCGCGGTACTCCGGCCACTCGTGCATGCGCGCGTGGTGCGGCGCGTCCAGCGGCGGAAGCAACCCCGCGAGGCGCAGGTCGGGCGTGAGCGGGATGAGCGCGCGGCGGAGGTACTGCGGGGTGTCGAGGTACTGGAGCACGCGCGCAAGGAACGACCCCGCGGACCCCGAAAAGCGCTCCCCGCGCCACCCGCGCGGAGCGCTCGAGTCGCCCTCCGCGTCCCAGTCGTCGTACACGACGATCTCGTGCACCTTGAAAATGACGGCGGCGCGCGCGATCTGCCCCGCTACCTGCGCCGGGGTTTAGGGAATGAGGCGATAACGATAAGAGATTATATAATTTGGCGATTAGAAAGGCGTCTTAATTCCGCGGAGTTGGGAAGATGTGCTAAAGAGAAGGCGCGTGTGGCGACGAGGGTTGAGGGTTTATTGCGGGGTTAACGAGACGCAGGGGTTGGAGCGCGATCCTAGTGGCACAGGAAGGAGGGAATTTTGGGGGGATGGAGCGGAATGCGTGGAAGATAAACGGCATGCGGGGGAAGAATGCGCGGGGAAGGGCGGGGCGGGAGGCGCACGGCGGTGGCGCGTTCGAGCGACTGCGTGTTGTCGATGATGGACCCCGGCACCGCGATCGATATCGTTGGCCGCTGCTGCCCGCGCGCCTGCTCGCTCGCCTCCGCGCCGCCGCCCATCGCTGCGGTGCTGTGGGCGTGCAACACTGGAATGAAGCGTGCTTGGGTGAGCTGGGGTGGGTTGAAGGGGGGCCAATTTGTGCTGTGAATGGAGTGGAGAAGAATTCCATGCAAGCATCACAGGTTCAATGCGGTGCAGGGCGGCGCTTTCTGTAGGACAATTGGCAAGCACAGAGAGCACGGCACGAGCAACAGCTGATTCATGGACGGACACCTCTTGCAGCATCGTCACTGTCTCCGTGTGAACTGCGAAGCCCTCTTTCCACCATGCAACTAGCCACGAGATTAAGCACTCCCTTCGCCCACCCGCCATCCGCGCTTTTCCGCGCGCTTCTACCGCGCGCATGCCGCCACGTTTCCTGTAGTCGCACCTGCCGCCCGCACTCCCGTTCGTCACTTCTCCAATCCCCGCCCTCCTCTCGCCACAACTCGCCCTATAATCCTCGCCCCTTCCGTCAACGAATTGTTACACTAGCCGGCAGCGAACGGCCGCGCTGCAGCCCTGCCGGCCGAGTAGTTCCAGCGGGGCTAGACGCAATTTCTGTCGAATCGGGACAATCTCCTGAGTCGCAGTTACTGCCGTCAGTGAATGACGGGGTGCCACGTGTCCTTTGCCGGATGGAGAGCGCGTTGGCCTGGCTGGCGCGAGAGCTAGCGGAAAGGATTGGTGGTGAGGGTGAGGGGGGACGGAGCGGCGAAGCGCGAGAATTGGGGGAGCGGAGCGGCGGGGCAGTGGGGGTCGGGGACGTGGTGTGCCTGCAGGGGGAGGTGGGCGCGGGGAAGACCACTTTCTGGTGCGCCTTGGGTGGGGAGGGGGGAGAAGAGAGGGGGGAGGCGGAGAAACCGGAACAGGAAGGGCAGGAGAGATGAGAAGGTTGTATTGGAATGGATGGGGTATTACCAGTGCAGGAGCACGTGAGAGCACGAATGGACAGCTGCCTGCTCCTCCTGCGCACCTGCCTGCCTTGCGAAACCCTGCTGTGGGAATTCTGAGCGTTGTGTTTCGTCCACTAACCTGCATCTGGCCGGCCGTGCTGCCGTGCGCCCTGCATGGGTGCTTCCCCATGTGCTTCCCCCTCCCCCAACCAACACCCACTCTCTCCCGCCCTACATGTCCCCCAACCCCTCACAGCCGGCATTTCATTCGTGCGCTGACAGGCGAGCCTGACCTCATCGTGACATCGCCCACCTTCCTGCTCCTCAACTCCTACCCCGCGCCCAACCTGTACTCCCCACTGCCCTCGTCGTCTGCCCTTGATGCTCCCCATTGCCTTAACCCCATGTCTCCATTCTCCACTCCCTCGGAGTTTTGTTCCTCTGCTCCACTGCTGCTAGTGCCTGCTCTCATCTCACACCTGCCTCAACCCTGCTCCCACGACTCATCACAACCCCCTCCCCCTTTCCCCCTTGCGCCTTCCCTCCTTCCCCCTCACCCATCCCCCCCCTCCAGCACGGTGCATCACTATGATGCATACCGCCTGGGTGCCCTGCGCACTGCCACGCCTGCCGCAGCAGCAGCAGCAGCAGCAGCAGCAGCAGCAGCAGCAGCAGCAGCAGCAGCAGCAGCAGCAGCAGCAGCAGCAGCAGCAGCAGAAGCAGCAGCAGCAGCAGCAGAAGCAGAAGCAGAAGCAGAAGCAGCAGCAGCATTGCCTGACATTCAGCGCCTAGACCTCGCACACTCGCTTGCTACTGGTACGCCCACCGCTCTCCTCACCCCTCCTGCCCTTTCCTGCCCGCCTCGCGCCACCTTGCTTCCTCTCCCCGTGCTCCTTCCACCCTCCCCACCTGGTCCCTCTTTCACTTTCCGCTTCTCACCACCTCACGCCCCCCATCCCGTTTCTCCATCCTCCCATCTTCCCTCGTATCACTCCCTCGCCCCCTTCCCTTTCCATTCCGCCTTCCTCATTCTCCCCTTCCCCTCTCCCTCTCCCCCCTCCTCGCCTCCCCATCAGGGCTGTGTCTGATCGAGTGGCCGCAGCCCCTCCTCCCTCTGCTGCCCGCCCACCGCCTCCACCTCTCCATCTCTCTCCTGCCGCCCACTCCAAATCCTCCGGGCGGCACAGCTGAACCCAGGGGCGGCCAACAGCAGGGGTGGCGGAGGGGACAGCAGAGGGGAGGGCAGAAACAGGGGAGGGGATGACAGCAGGGGAGGGGGAAAGGGAGGGTGGGAAGGACAAGTTGGGTCAGGAGGATGGGGAGGGGTGGGAGGATGGAGAGGGGTGGGAGGAGCAGGATGGGTGGGAGGAGGAGGGGGAGGAGGGGGAGTGGTGGCGGGTGGTGCATCTGGATGCGAGGGGGGAGAGATGGACTGCTGTGGTTGATGCTGTTGTGGCCTCGGCACGCTTGTCCCCTCTTGTAACCATCTTATGATTCTCTTATCACGCCTAAGATTGTTTCATGGTCAGCATTGCTCGTTCAAAGCCGAACGAAACCTATCCATGGATGCGAAAGGTAAGAGGAGAGAGTACACGTAGATAGAGTCATCCTGGAGAGGCCTCCTCCTCCACGATACAAAACCATTCCAGAGCCCATACCAGTAAAGACCATCTCGTATCATACCATATCATATATCTCTTCCTGCAGTGAAAAACCTCTGCCACAGTCAAGAGTTGTGATAGAGGAGCAAAGCAGAACAGGTTGGAGCAGAGCAGTGCTTACAGCAGCGTGCAGCACCCTCAGCACCATCCGTTCTGCAGCCTCAAGGGACACTAAAAAGGCACCTGCACTCATTGGCCCATATCCGTCCTGCTTGGCTGCAATGCCAGGAAAGCGGGCTTCATCAGTGAGCCATTGGTATGGTTGGGTTGGGTGGGGTTGATGTTATAATCTAGCAGCAGGAATGATTGAACTATCAAAGAATTGGGCACAAATATGAAACCCTAAAAGGGGCTGTACCCCATATTGGCTACCCCACTACAGCCTAAACATATATAGCAGATATATCATTTGACACACCCCCATAGGCAAAGTGGGGGAGAGCAAGGGGTCACAAGACCAGTCAAGAGAAGCAAAAACAAGCTCAGGGTGGATCACAACGTCACCACACACACTGAGCACAAGCAAAGGGCCACAAGGCCAGTTCACATGCAGGGGTATATATGCAACAACAACAGCACAGTGATCTCTACCTAGCAGAGCAAGCATGCAGGTATATATATAGATCACAGTACAAGCAAAGTCTACAGCAAGTGAGGAAAAGTGGGCACAAGGCCTAACAAAGTGCAGAAACGCTGATGATCACCAGACGGAAGTGCCTTGGTGAATATATCAGCAGTGTTGGCCCGAGTGGCCATGTGAGCAAGACGAAGCTGACCACGCTGCTGCAACTCTCGAGCCAGGAAGTAACGCAGAGCGATGTGCTTCGTTCTGTGCTCCAGTCTGTGCTCCTCACACAAGGCAATGGCGGCCTTGTTGTCGACGTACAGCACTGGAGGAGAACGAGGCCGCTCTCCCAGGTCGGTCAGCAGGTAGGTGAGCCAGCGTAACTCCTGTGCAGCCATGGCTGTGGCGTAGATCTCAGCCTCACAACTGGAGCTGAGAACTGAAGACGAGCGTGTAGAACACCAAGAAACTGAACCAGAGCCAAGGCTGAAGGTGTAACCCTGAGACGACCGCTGCGTAGCCTGGTCGTCAACCCAAGAAGCGTCTGAGTGCCCAGTGAGGACAACGTCGCTCCGTCCTCCAAGCACAAGCCCCATGCCCGACGTACTGCACAAGTAGCGCAACACCCTCTTAGCGGCATCCATGTGCTCCTTTCGGTGACGGCCAGGAGCGACATAGCGTGCTAGGATGCTAAGAGGGTATGCAAGGTCAGGTCGAGTGCAGGTCATCAGGTACATGAGGCAGCCCACAAGCTCTGGATACGGGCCACTCGGCTCTACGGACTCATCCGAAGGCAGAGCTGAGAGCGAGTGACCGGTAGGCAGAGGAGTGGGCTGAGGCGAGGAGTACGTGAAGCGGAAGCGCTGAAGGACCTGCTGCACCATGTGTGACTGAGTCAAGGTGATGGTGCGCTGTGCTCTGTCCCGGGTGATCCGCAAGCCAAGATAGCTTGTCAGCTCACCCAGGTCTGTGCACGTGTGTCTCTTCTGCAGCTCTGACTTCACCAGGGCGAGAGCCTCAGTGTCAGCAGTGGCGAAGACCAAGTCGTCGACGTACACGAGGATGTAGAACGGCGGCAGCGAAGTGTCGGTGCGCAAAAACAGCGACGGGTCAGCAGTCGACGGAGCAAACCCAAGAGCAGCAAGTGTCGTCCTCGGTGTGTCGTGCCACTCACGTGGCGCCTGGCGGAGACCGTAGACCGGCCGCCGGAGGCTCCACTGGGTACCAGGAGGGAACGACCCAGTGAAGCCAGGAGGGCGGCGCAGCCAGATCTCCTCGTGCAGGCTGCCCTGTAAGAAAGCTGTGCTGAAGTCAAGAGAGTGAAGCTCGTAGTCACGCTGAGCGGCAACGTGCAGCAGTACCCGAAGAGTGGTCATCTTCGGGGTGGGGGAGAAGGTCTGGAAGAAGTCAACTCCCTCTCGCTGACTGAAACCTCGAGCAACGTAACGAGCCTTGAAGACAGACGGAGAACCTGGCGGCCGCTTCACCCTGAAAATCCACATGCCACTGACGATGTTCGCCCCAGGAGGGGGAACCTCGTCGACGTAAGTGCCTGTGGACTTCCAGGATGCCATCTCTGCGTCCATGGCTGTCTGCCACTGAGAGGAGTACTCACCCGCGATCGCCTCAGCGTAAGTGCGCGGGGTCGGGATGTCTGGAGCATCCGGGTCTCCCTCAAGGGCAAGCAGCATGGACACGAGATGAGGCGCAGCGGCTGCAAGACACTCAAGGTCCTCGTGCCTGTCCTCAAGGACGTCAGTGCCAAGAGCACACTCACCCCCAACGGACGGAGGACAGTCAGACTCAGACTCAGCAACAAGACTAGCGGCGTAGTCTAGATGCCAGGCAGCAGCAAAGTCAACAAGCTCAGCGACTAAGGCAGACGCAGCAGCAGACTCAAACGACGGGTCAGTGACAACAGTGGCTAGCAGACGCGTGACAGTAGGGTGAGCAGCACGGGTGCGGTCAGACGCAGGCTCAGGAACGGTAGGCAGAGAAGACGCAGGAGGGGACGGCAGGGGAACACGCTGCGGAGGAGAGGAAGGACGACGGACTACGAGGTGGGTGCCGGGGACAGCCGGCTGACGCGAACGAGGAACACGACGACCGGAACGACCAGAACGGACAGGCGAGACAGGACGCGACGCAGGCTCACGACGCTCAGTAAGACCCCCTGTATGCTCAGTGTAAGGAGAAGGAGCAGGCAGCGGTGAGCCAGGCTGTAACGGAAGACCAGTAGACGAAGGGAGACTAAGAACCTGGCGAAGCACAGAGTTAGACGGTGGCTGAGACGACGGAGACGGTGGAGCAAAGAACAGGCGCGGCTGTGCAGTGCCACCAGCACCAGCAGCTCCAGCACCCCCAGCAGCTCCAGCACCTCCAGAACCCTCAGCGCCAGCTCCTCCAGGACCAGCTCCACCAGCAGCAGCACCCCCAGAACCGGCACCTCCAGTCCCAGGGTCTCCAGCCTCAGTGTCTCCAGCAGCAGCACCCCCAGACCCATGGTCTCCAGCAGTAGCACCCTCAGGCTCAGCACCTCCAGCCCCAGCAGCTCCAGTACCTCCAGTACGAGCACCTCCGGGACCAGCACCACTCCCAGCTCCAGTGACGTCAGCAGAAGTACCTCCAGCGGTAGAGCCCCGAGCTCCAGAAGCGCGACCCTGACGGCGACCGTACCAGTCGTGCAGCTGCTGTGAGGTGAGAGGCACACGCGGACAAAGGCGGCTACTCCAAGAAGACCGCGCAACAGCAGACTCAAAACCCTCAGCGCCAGCACCCACAGCAGCTCCAGAACCTCCAGCGCCAGCACCCTCAGCACCTCCTGAACCTCCAGCTCCAGCGCCACCAGCGCCAGCACCTCCAGCAGCTCCAGAACCTCCAGCTCCAGCACCCTCAGCAGCTCCAGAACCTCCAGCAGAAACAACTCCAGTAGCAGAGTCACCAGCTCCAGCGCCTCCCGCAGCAGGGCCCCTAGCTCCAGCAGCGCGACCCTGACGGCCAACGTACCACTCACGCAACTGCTGTGGGGAGAGAGGGAGTCGACGACGAGAGTGCAGCGGCGAGGCACCATCGGAGCGACTACGGAGACGGCCGCTCCAGGGAGACTGCTCACCAGACGCCTCAGCGCCCCCAGGTGCAGCACCCCCAGACTCAGTACCCCCAGGCTCAGCACCCCCAGACTCCTCACGCCCAGGCTCAGCACCTCCAGTCTCCGCACCCCCAGGCTCAGCACCCCCAGGCTCCGCACCTCGAGCAGGACCACCCTCAGTAGGACCTGAGTCACCAGTGACCTCAACCGGCGCAGTCAAGGGAGGAGGGTCTACCTGAGACACACCTGAAGGAGCAGGACCGGGAGCGGGGAGGGGGTCTACCTGGGGAGCACCTGGAGCGAGGAAGAGCGGCGGGGGGGGGAGAGGGGCAGTGCAGTAGGGGAAGAGACGGTAAAAGGGAACCGACTCGTCGAACGTGACGTCCTGAGTGGGGAAGACACGGCGCGAGGTGGGGTGGTAAAACTGCCAACCAAGCGCGTCAGGGACAAAGCCAAGGAAGACACAGGGAACATCGCGGGCGGAGAGCTTGTCCGCGGTGGTATCGCGGACAAAGGCACGAGCACCCCAGACCCGGAAACGCGACGCATCGCCAACCTTCCCCGTCCACAGCAGTGTGGGCGAGGTCTCCGGCAAGGAGACACGGGGCCAGAGGTTGAGCTGACGCGCGGCGTACCGGACCGCAAACGGCCACAGAAAATGGGGGGCAGCCGCATGGATCATGGAGGTACGAGCGACCTCCATGACTAAGCCAATGCGGCGCTCAGCAACCCCATTCTGCTGCGGAGAGGCCGGAAGCGTGAACGTCTGGCGGATGCCGTGCTCCGCACAGAAGGCTGCCAAGAGTTCTGAGGAGAACTCACCACCTCTGTCAGAGTGCAGACGCAGGACAGGAAAGTCCGATTGGAACCACTCGCG